TCCTCATCACTGGGCCAATAAATAACATCACAATAGATGGAAAAAGGATTAAAATTGTCATTGATTTCATCTTTCTTGGATCAACAATCAATACCCTTAGTACCAGCAGTCAGGAGATCAGAAGACACATTACATTGGGCAAGTCCACTGTTAGCACCCCCACAGAATACTTAAGAACAGTGATGCCAGTCTGAAAATGAAGGTGTACCTGACTCAGGTCGTGGTCTTTTCAGTCACCTGCTATGCATTTGGGAACTAAGCAATGAATAAAGATGACAGAAGAACTGGTGTATTATGGTGTTGGAGGAGAATATTGACGGTCCCATGGACTGCCAAAAGAACAAACCAATATATCTTGGGAAAAGTGCAGCCAGAGTGCTCCTTGGAGGCAAAGATGGCGAAGCTTCGTATCACTTTCTTTGGACATGTTGATAGGAGAGGTTACTCCTTGGGAAGGAACATCATGCTTGGAAAAATGGAGGGTCAGTCAAAGAGAGGAAGACCCTCAGCCAAGTGGATTGACACAGTGACTGCAACAATGCGTTCAAGTGTGTCAGAGATGGTGAAGATGGCACAGGCTAGGACAGGGTTCAGGTCTGTTGTTCATATTGTCACTATGAGTCATTCTCGACATGATGTCACCTAACAAAAACAATAACACAAGAGTTTGGGAGCATCTTAGAACTGTATGAGATGGAAGCAGCCATGAATTAAAGAACTGTGTAGTTTTTGTTGTTATATGTGATTAAGTCGGAGCAGACTCCTGACTGACCCTCCAGTGGGTTTTCAGGGGCTATAAAATCGCCCCAGAGGAGATTGTTCCTCTTTCTCCAGTGGAGTAGCTAGTGGATTGAAACCGCTGGCTTCAGGTTGGCAGCACAACTCCTTACTACTAGGTCACCAGAACTCTCTAAAGAATGTACATAAAATCTATGTCAAATTCAGCATGGCTAACTTTAAGTTAAAATGCCCTCATGATCTAATAGTTAGTCATTCCTGATAAGTGGAAAGTTTATGGTTCCCACTCATCCCAGATTTCCACTGGAGAGTGACTTGACTATCTACTTCCATAAAGGGTACAGTTTGGAAAACTATGAGATGGGGCAAGCTCTCAATCTGTTATCGATAAGGTCACTGTGAGTGTTAGTCCATTTAACAGCACCTATAAACAACAATAACAGCTCTGTCACATGGCCTTGGGATGAGTTAAAAATTGCTAAATGACACTTAAGCTAATGTCATCGCTAATGACACTTAACAGCAACTCAGAGTTAAACATATCGTCTTTATTTATTGGAAACATCAATAGGCTTCACTTTTCCATGTGGTGAAAGGTGACAAAGAATTCCTTTCTAAGTAAAAGAAAATATAAGGTTCCCACATTTTCCAGTTATTCTCCTTTTTTAGTCACTTTCCTTTTTCTTTATATTATATTCTTAATATTCTCTTTCAAAATTTAAGTTTAATGGTTTCTTGCTCTCATCCCTGGCGATTTTCCTGTCCCAGTTGTAAAATCTTGTGATAGAGGATTTAGTATCAACAGCAGAGAAGAAATATAAAGGAGAATCCAAACTAAAGCTTCTTACTAGAAAATTTGTAACAAAAAGAACACATTACTTATGGAAATTACACGCAGATTTATTAAAAGTCATGTTTTTTAAATTCCAAGCTTCCCATTCTTCGCCTCTTTTTTTTGTTTTTTAATTTAGTTTGTTTATTTTTCATTTCATTGGATTTTGGAATTCCATTCATTCATTGTTGCACCCTTCTCCCCGCACAAAGCCCCCCCCCACCCCGTTTGCTCCTCTCCTTGAAAAGCAAAAGAAAAACTCCCTCATTGGTACACAATCCCCCCACACCTCCCCAAACCCCACCCCCTTCTTCCCCTCTTTTTCACTGAAGAATCTCAGAGACTCATTAGTGTGCCAGTAAGGTCAAGAGGAGTAAAGTCATCCTTCACAGAAAAAAGAAAGATCAACTTAGGTTTCCTTCCCTTGCAGACTTTTGTAGCAGGATCTGACAACAGTGAATGCTAAAAGCTGGAAATGGATATGTGTCAGTATTGGGTATTACACACTGTTGAGTATGAACATGGTGGCTGGCTGGCTGGGCCATGATTTGTTTCTTATATATGAGGTCACCAACTCAACAACATGTACGGTGTAGCAAGCAGTGACAAAGTCATAGCCTTTGAGGACCTTACAGAAAAAAAGAATACGCATGCTAATATGTGCGTATATATCAACAGAAGCTCTGGTGACGAGTCTGTAGGTTGTTGCACTGTTAACGCATAGGCCAAGCACCTCTGGTGGTTCCAATCTACAGGTGACTCCAGAGGAGAAAGATGGACCATCTCTTCTAGTTTGAATTGATAGCCTTTGATACTCTCATCCCACAGCAGTGAGTTTGAGGAGTTGAATATTAATGCAACAAAAATGTTGAGGACAAAAAAAAAAAAAGTGTTGAGGACAACATGTTGGTAGGAATTCAGAAAAAGGAATAATCTTTGCAAGCTGAAATGACCTAACCGTTATAGTGGCTCTGCAGTTCTTTAATGCACATTTTGGCTTTAATAATATGAAATAAAATCTCAAGAAGCAGCTTACTTTATGTGCAGGAATTACAGTACCCATTGCTCTCAGGTCAGAGCCAACCCATAGCTGTCCCTCCCGCAGGTTCCTGAGGCTGTAAATCACACAGGAGGAGATGGCCTATCTTTTTCCATAAGAGCTGCTGGGAGATTTGAACTGCCCCTGCCAGAGAAATTTGACCTTTGGGCTATCAGGGCACCCTCTTGTGGACTATAGCACTTGAGCTCCCTTTTAAAAATAGCAGTATTATGGGGGGTAGGGAAGCAATAACAAGCACAAAAGACAAAGGCTATATCGTTTCAAAGTTAGCCTGCAGAAATTGTTAATGCTACGTGACCACCTCACTATAGAGAAGAGAAACATCTTTTGCCAGTCTTCCGGGACCACAGGTCCTGAGTTAGGTGGCAGTGCCTAATGAAAGGAGCACTACCCTGTGCTCTATTATTTTCTTCCTCTTCTAGAAGAAGCACAGCTGCACTAGTAAAAGAACAAATCTGACTTATGGATGAAATGGAAAGATCTTGCAAAATATAACCATGCTGAATCCAAGTTAAATCCTCGGGTTCCCCTTTTAATGACCAAGGATAGGCAAGGCCGTGGCTTGCGCATGTAGTCTTACCTTCACTTTCTATGAATGAGACCAGTGCTGGAACTGTTGTGTCCTCATGAGCATCAGAGGAGACTTGTGCTTCATAAGGTTTCCAGTGACTTTGAAAGTAGATTACTAGGCCTTTCAGTTCAGTGTGAACTTGAACCTACAGCTATATGGTTAATAGCTGAGCACAGAAAACTCTTGCACACCCAGAAACTCTAAACTGATAATTGGAATAGTTGCTGGATATGTTAAAACTAATGTGCGCCTAACCCAGGACATGGTCTTTGCAGTTACTTGCTCTGCATCAGAAAGCTGGACAATGACTAGGAATGACAGAAGGAGAGTTGATGTCTTTGAGCTGTGCTGCTGGAAAAGAACATGAACTGCTAGGAAAACAAACAGATTCATCCAGGAGAGGGTGAAACCAGGCTTCTCCTTGGAGGCAAGGGTTCTGAAGCTCTCTCTGACATACTTTGGACACACTGCAAGGAGGGACCAGTCCTTCAAGAGGGACATCATGCTTGGGAGGTTGGAGGGACAGCGCAGGTGAGGAAGACCCTTGATGAAATGTATTGACTCAGGGACTGGGGTGATGGGAGTAGGTGTGTCAAAGACAAGAAGGTTGGCACAGGATAGAGCAGGGTTCAGAGCTGTTGTATATAGGGTTGCTACAAATTGCAAGCAACTTGACAGCACAGCATGCTAAAACTGGATTACTATGACTTTACAAGAATTATCAAGAAAGTGGCCTATATTTATTTTAAAATATTTAAACCAACCCAGCAACTTGTAGAAATGAATTGAATGTATGCATTCACTTGTCTGTTTATTATAAATATTATATATTACATATATTATATGAGATATATATATATATATAAACAAATACCTACCTGACACAGTACAGAGTTGCACTGCTCACTCAAAAGCCATACTTTTACAAAGTCAAGTCCACCCTCAGATCTTCAGGAGTAGGATAAACAGTCTCCTTTCATGTAATTTACAGCTTCTGAAAACCCACTGGAGGGTCAGTTATGGGTCAGTTTCAGCTCAAAGGTGCTGAGTTTTGAGTTGACACAGTGACGCAAAGCTGAGTGAAAAGTTGCACCATTTGTCTTTCTGAAATGTACCCTTTCAAAAGATATCTTTAACTGACTTTCCCTACCTCCACTCTGCATTAAGTTCATATGGACCCTACCTAACTGGGGAAGTGGAATATTTTTCATTTTAAAAAAAATGCTCACCCATTGTTAGACTGTGTGATCCAATAAAAGTGGATTTAAAGGATGGATGAGAAAGTAGACTATGTTAAGCACCTCTAAATGGAGGTAAATGATAGATTTTTTTTTTTTTAATCTGTGTTCTTTGACAGAAGCCTTGGTGGTTTAATGGTTAAACATTTGACTGCAAGCAGTTAACATCGTTCAGAAGCTCTGTAGAAGAAATGATGTGGTAATCTGCTCCTATGAAACCTTACACTGCTGCTTGTTCTGCTCTCAGTCCATCCTATAGGGGTCACTGTGATTTGGAATTGACGGTGACACTGGTATACATTTTTAACATTTTGGAAGATGTAAATTAATTATAAGTAAGTTGCATATATGCCCCAGTTGTTTGATTCAAGAGTTCCAACCATTTGTGCTGAGTTTGAACTGCAAAGAATTTTATTTGCCATCGCCCCAAGGTCTTCACTCAGCGGGGAATTTCAATGTTGATCTGTCCTTTGAGCCAAAAAGCAAACACGATCCAGGTTGCAATGTGTTTCCCTGTTCTGCTTAGGTGACTGACCTTTCTTTCCTCTTCTGTTTTTACAGACCAGACGACGTGCTCCTGCATCGCACCCATGATGAGATTGTCCTCCTACATTGCTTCCTTTGGCCCCTGGTGACGTTTGTGGTAGGCGTCCTCATTGTGGTCTTGACCATCTGTGCCAAGAGCCTGGCCGTCAAGGCAGAAGCCATGAAGAAGCGCAAGTACTCTTAAAAGGGAGCTGTGGAAAGCACAGCACAGAAGCTGCACTCCTCAGCGCACATGCACCTGCGGGGCCCACGTTTCCGGCACAGGAGATGGAAGGGTCCAGGAGAGGTCTCCAAGAAGCTCCTCCCTTGATGGCAGCAGAAACGGCAGGCTCAACTGGGACTTAGAACCTCAGAGATTATAGTCTTTGTGTGATAGTGGTGAATAACGGGTCAAGCTTTTAGCTGTCTGGAGTAGCCATTTCAGGAAATCCTATAAAAAGTTCATTTTCTTTGGAAAAGTACAGTGTATTATTTGTACAGTGTAGTATACAAACTGTTATGATTGATGCTATTTACACACATTAAAGTAGAGTGGTCTGTGTTATTTTTTAATTTCCTTTTTTTATGCTTGGAACATCAGGGTTTAAAGAAGAAAAACAAAAGTCCTCCAGGTTTCATTTGATTCTTACTAGCTCAGGCTTCGTTTTGGAGCTGAGGATTCCTGTACAAGTCTTGACCTCACTGTATAAGCCTCAGTTTTCATGATTAAAGAGAATCTTTTGACTCTCCTGTTTGAAAATGAATATGCTCTATTAACTCTGGCTCTGCTCACTTCTGCGACTCTTAATCAAGGGACCCTTGGAGACAAGGGTGGGGGGAATCCCTTATCTTCCATTCTTGCCTTTGCCAATCCATTTTTTTGTCCCAGAATATTTCTTAAGAGGGTGAGATGTTTCTGAAACAGTCCTGTCCTATGCGTACTGAGGCCCTTCAGTCATCTGTTCATGTTATTGTTGATGGGTTCTAACTCTGTGCAACTGGATATTTGTGATGTGAAGGACACTCTATAGCTTTAGTCTTGTTGACATTTTCTTTACTGGGTGTGAAAAGCATATTCAAAATCAAATCAAGCACTCTGCTTTCATTTCTCTTGTCCTTGCTCTGTGTTATTGGCATTAAAACAGGAAGGTTGCTGCAGTGGTTCCATTTGCTTAGACCTCCTGGGTGATGCTGCCCAGCTCCACCCCGCTGCTGTGAACTCTCTGTGCCTGTATCTAAACCCTCATTAAGAGAACCATGGTTTTTGTATCTCTTCATGAAGCCAAACTCCAGATACCAATCACTCATCTCAGTGAATGGCCAATGGATACTTTTTACTTACCAGATCAAATCCAAACTTTGTTGAGATAAAAGATAATTTTCTAGTGGAGAAACGACTGATAATTTGGTTTATTTTGGCTTCCCCCCCCCCCAATAGTCTCTAAACCTGCTTCCACTAAAGGAAATTGAAATTTAAGGGCAAATTCCCTCCATTATTTCTTCAGTTTTCTAAAAAATGATGCATATTAGTTGAATGACAGCTTCTTTCCAGTCCACATACCAGTGTTTTCATAATTTTAAAATATAAATAATTGAGAATGTCATAGACATTTTTGGAGCAGTGTTAAGTGAATACATTTCCCCCCCTCCTAACTCAAGTGCTACAGGTGTTGCTGTGAAAAGGCCTTGAACACACTATTTATGACATCCTTTGAGGCAGCCAGAGTGCCTTAACTTCAACCCGCATTTTCTGTTGCAGCATCTCGGTTGTCTTAGCAACCTGCTGAACCATTCAAAAGTGTGCAGTAACAGTACTGAGGAGCAGAGGGAATGATGATCTTTGCATCACCTGTCATTGGGAACAATACAGTCTACTTTATCCATTGCATCATTTGCAAAAATATGATTAAATAATTACAGAGAGTAGATAAAACCGAATGATATATATATGAAAATAGGTAGTTTGTAGATAGTGATATGAGTTTGCATTTATCAGTTTGGTGATTATACATTTATTTATTAAGTAATCCTTCTATTTAGAAGGATTACTTCTAAAGGAGTCTGCTCTTTATACTTTGTACACTGATTCTTAGAAAAGAGGCAAAGCACACTGAGTTCATATACTCACATACAGTTTCAAAATCTTCCTTTCTTGTAGCTAGTTAGATTTGAGGCTCTTTCTTCACCCTTGTTAGATTTCACCAGACTTATTAGATTTACTAAATGCTAAAAATGACAATTTTAAGATCATAAAAAGTTCCAAGTCTTAATATTTTCATTCTCCCCATTATTCATGTGCAAAATGGGCTAAGTAATTGTAACAAAGAAATCTCAAAATATGATTCAAATAATATAGACATTTCTACTTTTTCTTACGTAACAATTAGAGAAGTCTAAAGCACAAAGGGGCTCAGAATTTGTCTAACTTGTCTTCTCATTCATTACCAGGGGTATTCATTGTTCTTTCTGTGTTTGTCTCTGACTCAAAGCAGCATATCCTTTTTCTAATCCATGAAAAAGGAAGTTGGGAGTAAATTATTTTCCAGAAGTTTCACACATCACTTTTGCTCGTACCCCATTCACCAGTAATTACTGAGCCTCAAGGAAGACTGAGAAATGTTCTCTCTAGCTAAATGGATTTGCTTTATTAAAACTATAGGTAGAAGGTTCTGTTGCTGAACAGAAAAGGGGAAAATAAATACTAGAACAAGTAACAAGATGAGAAACAACAGTTTGTGCCCATGCCATGATGCTGAGCAGGCTGGCAAAGGTCCGCTGTCTTGACACAGATAAGGTCTTTAGTTAAACCTTGAATCTTCTCTTCAGATTCAAGGGGGATGAGTTCTCTTGTCTGCTGCCCTCTGTGACCCCTCATTTGACTGCTCAGAGAGTCTCTCTTACCTGTTACCCTCCATAGACGCTAACATTTCTCGGGGACATCACAGCTTTTGTAGCTCCCTCACTGCTGGTGCAAATTTAAAGGCCTAAAAATTGCCTTAGAGATTGATTGGACAAATAAAGACTTTTCTAGGCCAGGACTGTAATTTATTGGGCTGTTCTGTAAAGAATCTTACTCCATTTTTGATGTTTGACCACTGACAGCTTAGAAGTCTTATTCCTCATCTTTCCCCTTAAGCCCAGCATCTGAACAAGCTGATAAGAAAACCTAAAGCCTTCTCATTTGACCCAGCTAGGGCATTCAAACCTGTATGAACACAGGCCTATATGTAAGAATCCACACCCCAACCCCAGCCCAAACCACAATAAAAGCCAAGTTGGTCAAGCCATTTTTGGACCAGCTGGGGAGCCTGCCCTACTCTTTTGGGGGACGAGGGATTCATTTTGTGAGTAATAAATCTTTTAATTACCTCTTGGTGTGTGTGTGTGGTGTGATATTATGAATCTTGGCACTGGAACCAAATATTTGGTAGTGGCTCCATTCCACCTCTTAACAAGTGACTGTAACCCTGGTGATACTAATGCATCGAAAATATATTTGATAATTTTTGTCTCTTTGTTTTCAGCCTAAGAGCTATTCTGGTTATAGTTTTGTGATGCTGTTTTGTTTTTCTAATAGCTCCATGGGAGAAGGGTGGGAAATCTCTTCCCGTGTGTTTAAACTGCCTCTGGAAAGCGCTGGAGGATCGGCTCTGACTTGATGGTACACAACAACAACAACAGTAGTTCTCAAACCCAAACCCACTGCCTTTGGGTGGGCTCAGACTCACGGCTTCCCTCCATCAGATTTCTGAGGCTGTAAATCTTTTGTCCTCTTCATTTTAAAGAGTGGGATTGGAGTGAAAGTTTACAAAGGAGACTATGGCTCTTTCTGGGAGGAGAGTGCCTCACCTTTCTCTCATGGAGCCACTGGCATCCAGACTGCCCACCTTTCAGTTACCAGTTTCACCACCAGAGCCCCTTAGCTCTCAAACCAGCAGTGTCTTATCTATTAACTTCTATAGTTTGCCCCTGAATAGTGCAAATACTGCTAACCTAAAGATTGACAGTTAAAATCCACCTAACTCTACCATTTAAAAAAAAAAAGACAACAACAAAACAACCAAAACCACACAACACACAACAAACCAGAAAAAACAAACAACCCCCCACAAACCTTTTCTACCATCAAGGCAAAAGTCGAAAAAGTCCTGTAGACTAGTTCTGTTTCATAACGTGACAGGCTTGTCATCAACAGGAACTTAACAACAATGAGGTTAGTTCGATTTTATTTATGCTTGTCCTGGACCTCTGTTCTCAGTGTAGTGACTTCCGAAACGATGGGTTTAGGTAGGAATAATGAAACCCCAAAGCAATGGCATTGCATCAACCTGACTCCCAGCAATCCCATGTGTTTCAGAGTAGAACTGCTCCTTAGGGTTTAGGTCTGAGGAGCTCTGGTGGCCTTGTGGTAAGAAGTTGCACTGCCAACCTATATCGAATCCACCCACTGCTCCATAAGAGAAGGACAGTCTTCTTCTGGGTGGTTTACAGTCTCCAAAAACCCACTGGCAGGCCAGCTATGAGTTGGTTCTGGCTCAGTGGTACATAACAAGGGTCTTTATTTACAGCAGCAGACCGTTAGTTCTTTCCTCTGAGACACCTTTGGATGGACTCAAAGCACCCACTTTTACATCCAGCACTTAACTCTTTGCATCATGCAGGGACTCTTTAAATGAGAATGTTACACTCTTAATCTGCCTTATCTATGGAACCGATTGATTCTCATGGGCCAGTGGAGACTCTTGCAAAACAACTGAGAATTTTATGTCCTTAATAGATTTAGTTACATTCTCGAAAGCTAATTCCTCTTATGTCACATCAACTACTATAGCTTAACTGCAAAAACAGTAGGGTATAGACAACACATATCAATCTACTTAGCTATAGCTCTGCCTTCCAATTTGTTATTAGTCACAGTTTAATTTAATGTGTAGTGAAAGCACAACAGAGTCTCTTGTTTTCTATCCTGAAATGTTTCTTCACCGTCTGTTGCCTAACTACAATGCCAAGGTCACATATTTTAGATTTTTGTTACTACAGCACTTTTCTATTTCTAGGGCCAGCTTCAAAATTGCCTGGGTTGTAGGCTAAGCCACAGTAAGAGAGACCTTAAAATGAAATAGCTGAAACCAGAGAATTCATTTTCTTTCACGAAGCCATTCACATTTCACGAGCTTTTCGCAAAGCTTTAGCTTTCTTCTGTTTTATTTTTCTTCCCTCTGTAGACTGTTGGTGTCATTTCTACATAGTGTTTCACCAAATTAAACCTACTGCTATTGAGTAGATTCCAACTCAGACTATCCCATCTCATGGGAAAGGGGAAAGAGAGGAAGGGAAAGGCCAGTATGTACATCTAAGGACGTGAATGGAGAAGTTATACATACCAGTTCTATCTTGTTCTTGTGGTGAAAAGCTTCCCTCATAGTGACCCAACGTACAATAGCTTTGAACCTTTCCATACCCTGAGCAAGTCTCACTGACCCCAACATACTTAATCCCATTGCCCCAGTTACCATGTCAATCCATCTCATCCAGGCTCTTCCTCTTCTGGTCTGACCCTCTACCCTTCCAAGCATAATGTCCTTCTCCAAGGACTGGTCCCTCCTGGT